CCTGGTTGGTAGAAATGCTTACTACTCCGCGGGCAGCGATCGCTTCCCTGGATACACCTGGTCACTGTGTTGAGGCATGACACTTGTCAGCACGAGCTGGTTTGATATATCACATCTATTGTACAGCCATCTATACGACGCATCACATTATCCCCACTCGCATGGTTGTTTCTGAATCCACCGTCTTTTACTAAAATTCGTATCCAACACCTATCCGAGCGCCATTCCACTGCCTTTTTCTTGCGTCGTTTCAATTGGACGGATATTTGGAAGGTATTTTGGTGCGACTGCAACGGCAGAGTACCCGTTGACAGCAACCGCAGTCGTTCACAGTCACAGGAGCCGAACATCGTCACAACACACATGTAACCGTGTTTGTGGGTCTTTTTTTCATCGGGCTGTTACGCGCGCTCCCCAGGTGCATGTGCTGAGTTGTGATCGCATGGCTATCAATCGATAGCGCCCACGCGCAGTAACTTCGTGCGTATTCGGTCTATCATCCTGTGCAACAAGCACATGATATCTACCTTGATAATCGTTTTTGGACATTTTGCCTGGTACGTTTAACTCTTCTATGTCAGTCGTACCCGAAGCTAACCTATGCAACGTGTACAGGAAAGCGACGATCAAGTTTTGCAGCAATCACACCATGGCTGGTCAGGGCAACAAATAGCGTAAAGTTGACGGAAACATAGCTATTGCGTAACAGGATATAGTCGAGGCCAATCCAGGCGCTGGCATGTTAGAGGCGCCTCTCTGTCCACCATGCTTTTCAGAATCTGTCTTCCTATTGTCTTCCTCTTGACGCTCGGAAACTGTTCAGATGCAATCCCAGACGTGCACTCCGAACTTATCCCAGGACCAGGTTTCCCGTCTCTAGCGTCTCTGAATCTTACTACAGCTGATCTACTTGAGTGGCCAATAGCACGAGGTTCCAGCGGTGAGCACGTATCCTTACAAGTACCTGTCGCATTTTCAGGTGGACATCATCTAATACCCTGCAGCTCAAACCACCACCTCAGACAATACACTGGTGTGCGGCCCGGAAGATGGATCCTACACAGACGTCAACAATCTCATTTCCTGCTTCAATTATCTTCGCATCCTCGGCAAAACTCTCTGTGAGTTCGACAGTAGAGAACCGAGAACGGTGTGTTGGCACGGGTTCAATGGCGTTGTTGTTGGTATAAGTACAACGGGTCAGCGTGAGAGTAGTTACTGGTATGCTTATCTTCGCTTCTTTACCCCGCACAATCGACTATGGAACAGAACAAATCTGACCTGTATGTCATAGCATTGATCTTGCATGGAGTGTCTTGGCTGTCATTGACGGCTGCACGAGACTTGATCACAGTTGCGCTGGTTTTGCGGTTGCCAATGGCAATGGGAACATCATGGTTGGAGGTACTAATGCCGATTACGAAAACCGTGCCTGGGTTTGAAGATTGAGGATGCCTCAATCGTTGCAGTCGTGTTCAGTCCTGGTGCCGGGGTCGATGTCGCGATGTTAACTCACACCAAAATCAGAATATGATCATGCGCATCATCCACAAGCATGTTCTTTCAAAATCAACAGTATCAACGCGTTGTATTCCCCGCAACGTTCCTTAAGCTAACGATATTCCCCAGACTTGGCATTGTGATGCTAGATAGATGCAAATCTGGGGTGACCGGATTGAGCTAACTTCCTCCAACCAGGGGTTTCTCCGGACCGATATGTTTCGCATGCATCAGCCAACGCTCGGCCACAGCCGTGATGCACGTCCAAACTACCCAATCGAGCTACACATTGGTCACGCGGAATGATTCGTGTTACTCCAAGTATTCAGGCGTTTCCGCGGCGACATTCGCCATCGAATTCCACCTAAGAGGGTTCATTGTTTATATGAAGTCGGTGGAGATCAAGCCACTCCTTGAGCTTCACGGAGATGATCAGCGAAAATTATTGCGGTCCAAACGCCGACGCCTTGTACATAATGGAGCTTCGACATATATATGGGTTTTGCCAGAACGACCAAGCACTATCATCTCACATCGCAGCAAGTACCAGACATGAAGCTTTCTACCTCCTTTCTATTCGTTGCGGTGGCTGCAGTCACAGCATCGCCTACCCCAACTTATCAGGACACACCAGCAAGAGCATTGGAGAAGAGAGCTAGCATTACAGATGCTGCTAATGTTGGTTTCGCGATGGCAAATGGCGGGACCAAGGGGGGAGCCGGTGGTCCTACTACCACCGTGAGCACTTTACCCCAACTCTCGGCCGCGGCCAACTCTTCCGGACCCTTCAACATCGTAGTTCAAGGAGCTATTACTGGTGCTGCAAAAGTACAGGTTGGCTCGGACAAGACCATCATTGGAAAGACTGGAAGTTGTATGCAGTTAGCCTTTCTAAGTTGCATAAGTCCTGACTAACACTTTATAGCCTTGACTGGAATTGGTCTTACGATCCTAGGCCAGAAGAATGTCATCGTACGCAACATGAAGATCGGCAGAGTACCCGCTGAGTACGGCGATGCCACTACCATTCAACTCTCCACCAATGTATGGGTCGATCATTGCGACTACTATGGTGACGAGACTGTTGGCAAAGATACCTACGATGGGCTGGTCGATCTTTCGCACGCTGCTGACTTCGTAACCATCTCCAACACCTACTTTCACAACCATGTACGTCCTCATCTTCTTCTTCACGAAAATACACACTGGCTAATGCAGCGCAGTCCAAAGGCACCTTGGTAGGCCATTCCGACAAGAACGCCGCCGAAGACACTGGCCACCTCCGCGTAACATACGCAAACAACCACTTCTACCGCGTCAACAGTCGCGGACCATTGCTCCGATTCGGCACAGCGCACATCTTCAACAATTACTACAACGAGCAGTCTACAGGTGTGAACACCCGCATGGGTGCGCAAGCCCTGGTTCAAAGCTCGGTCTTTGAGAACAGTGGCAAGAAGATGGTGTACACGGAGAGTAGCGCGGAAGATGGGTATGCAGTCGTGGAGGACGTGTTGTTTGGTGGGCAGAGCGCCAATACAGCTCCCAAGGGTACACTCAGTGCGCAAAGCTTGCCCTACAAGTACGAACTATTGGGCAGCACGAACGTTAAAGCGGCTGTTACTAAAGAGGCGGGACAAACCCTAACTTTCTGAACAGATTGTATTTGGACAAGCCAGATATGAGTAATGGCACGCATGTACTCTATAACCTCAGCCATTACTTTCTCTATTCAAAAATTCTCCCGGTATAGGTCTTGCAGATCCTCACCCAAGTAACCTTCCCGAGCATCAACCTTGCTCATCATATTGAATACGCTCCGTTGGTCACTCCTCTCTATCAAAATGTCCTTCACATCAACGTAGGCGAGTAGCGGACTAGATCCCAAGTGATCATAGATCGTGCTCCATGCACTTCCGTGGAGGTCCACGTCTGAAAGCTCCACCGAAACAATTCTGGAGGTCGACGACGACTCGGAGATACCGGTGGAAGGGGACAGGAGAGCAAGTAGGACTAAAGAAGGTGTTCTCACACGGTCAATGTACAAGTTCCTGAGCCCATCCTTGGTCGGCCGCCAGACGAGCGATTCTAGGTTGCAGTACTGAGTCCCTCTCAAGCCAAGAGATTCGAGATTGCGGCAACGTGACACTAAAGTGCATATGCCGTTCATGTAATCCGTATTTGGAAAACGAGTTTGCAGGTTGGAGTAGAGCGGACTTCCGTGTTCGTCGTTAATAGATCTCTCGTCAAAGTCGTACGCGCGATCACCGCCAGGCCCTGTACCATCGATATATTCCAGAAACAGATGTCGCAGTTGCATGGCCATGTCGTCCCGAATACAAGCGCCAATGGTCGCAATGTCGTATGCTGAGGGCAGCGTAAGTCGAAGATAAGTCAGCAAAGGAAGATGTACGCGTGGCGAGGAGAATATGCTCGCGATATTGCTACGAATAAGCTGCAGGAAGTCAAGGTCAAGCTTGAGGCCATAGTCTTCATCGTCTCTCTGATCAACTTCTAGCGGTGCGCTACGCCAATTTTCTTCGAGCGTAAAGACAAGGCGTTTCAGCGTTGGTAATTTAGAGACAGCCTCTTCGATCCAAGGGACAAAGGCTGACGTGTTCGCGACCAAAAGGGCCAACTTTCTAGCCAGCCCAGGATTATTTTCGACGTCTCTCTTTTCGAACAATCCATCTGGGCTCAGTCTTGATTCAGATAACATGATCTGCAAGCGCTTTATGCAAGGCGCAAACTTAGCATCTTCTTCTATGATGTATTTATGAAGTCTCGAGGTAGCTGTGTTCTCCCAGGTGCGGAATGTCGCATATTTATGTTGGAAGTAGAGACGGTTCATAGCGTGGTCGAAGGCTTTACAGACTAGCCGAAGCTCCAACTCCCGGTGAAGCACATGTGGGTAGTCATAGACACCGAGGCAACATATGTAATCGAAATCGTGGATAAGGGAGCTCTCGTCCCATGGATACCGGGGTTCAGTCACGGGCCTTGCAAGGTAGGAGAAAATCTGGACCTTTCGTTAGCCTACAGTATCGAATCAGAAGACGAAGAACGCTACCTCATCAACGAGCTCAACAGAGAGCCGATCCCATACCGACATCTTCACGTTGATGTCGTGCGGAAAATGCGGCAGAGGCAATCGATGGGGAGCGGCAGGCTGCATGGCCCGTGCACGCGGTCACCCCTTCCTCAAGTCTCCGTGGACCTTATCAGCCTATCATCTCGGACTTGCAATCAGGTGGCTGCAGCTCCGTCTTACCACCTACACACACTGTGGCAGGCCTGAGAAGCAAAAAGATCCTATAGATCCAACCGCGTACTGTACCGCGGCTTTTGTCTAGCGATAAAATGAGGGGTTCGCCCCAGCTCAGGCGGCCGTCCGCCCCGTCCAGCTTCAGACATGTCGCCAACACCGTCCTTCAGGGTCAGGCTTGCTGAACTGCGCGACGTCCCTCGTGTCACGACGGTTGCCCTCGCTAGTCTACCTGATGACCCGGGGTTCGAATTCATCTGGAGGTACAGGCGCCAGTATCCTGATGACAGTCAATTCTTTTGGTTGCAAGTGTTCAAACATTATCTCTACCATCCCAAAATCACCCTCATCGTGGCTGAAGAAGTCGCGTCATTGGAGGAAAAACGCGAAGATCGTGGAGAAGCAGTAGCGACAATAATCGCGTTCGCATTATGGGAGAGAAATGGGAAGAGTATGCTGACACAGGCTCTGACGAACCTGTGGAGTAAGGGCGTGTTCAACGCGCTACACTGTGAGCATGCACGCGCGAACCTCGATGAACACAATACTGAGCAATGACAGGTTATATCACCTTTATAGAGAACTGGGCCATAGGAAAGGAGTTCAGGCGGCGTGATGGCGATCCGAAGCGCATGATCGCCTTTCAGCAAGCGCTGAACTACACCCACTCGAAATATTGGGAGAAGATGTATCCTCAGAATTACTACCTCGTTCTGCTTGCAACCCATCCAGACTATCGTCGGCGCGGTGCGGGCACTGCGCTCACTCAATGGGGTGTTGATCAGGCTCTGGCTGCTAGCATTGACGTAGGCCTTGAGGCAAGTCCGATGGGATTTCCATTGTACCAGCATATGGGCTTCGTTCTGTTGGAGAATCTGGTAATTAAGCCAGATGCGGATGACGATCCTGCGAGTATGCTGCTGAGGGTTATGGTATATGACAAGAACAACAAGTTCTCAATGGTCTGATTTTGGAAATCGCCTGCTTGCGATTGAGGAGAGCTGTAACATGTACTTATTGTGTGTTGAGTTTGGGTGCCAGGTGGGTGCTGAGCCTTCAACACCAAAATAAAAAAAACGATTAGCAATCGCATATGATTCGTATGACGAACGCGCAGAACGATAAGTGGGTGCTGAGCCGCCGCTGGAACGGGGGCGGAGGTCAGAACAACGCCCGAAGCGCCGACTGCCCCAGGCCGTCAAGCTGCGACCGCGCGGTCGCTGCATCCCGTTCCCTCTCCAGCAAGCCACACAAACATAACGGGGAACGGGAACGGCGCAACAACAATCGCTTCTTACTTTCTCATAAGATCGAAATGGTGCTGAATATGCATGATCGATACACGGGAGCGGACGGTGTTGTCGCTCGCAGCGCCGTTCAGAACAAAGCTATAAGAGCATAGTCGTTGTCAATTACTATCAGTGTCATCCATTTCTATCAGATCGTCATTTATCATTAAGTTGAAAGTCTACGAGGTGTCTTTCTACTATACATCGCCCGCCATGAGTATTGGAAGAGCAGCAGCTACACGCGTGTGCGGCAAGCCAGTGGGCCCTGTCGGGCTCGGAATGTTAGGTCCGTTCCACGCCGCCTGAGCATCCCAAACGCAACTTACTGACAACAGACCCTCCAGGCTTGACTCTTCCTGCTCCATTTCCTCAGTTCGAGCGCGAGCATCAAACCAGTCTGCTGAAGGCCGCATTAGACCAGGGTGCAAACCTATGGAACGGAGGTCTTCACTATGGCACGCCGGAGTCAAACTCCGTACATCTGATGCGCCACTACTTCGAAAAGTACCCCCAGGATGCTGAAAAGGTTGTCCTCAACATCAAGGGCGCCTTCAATCATGGAACAGGCCCAGTAGGCAGCCCAGAGGCTATTCGCGCATCCGTAGAGCAGGCTCTCGAAGGGCTAGGGGGTGCGAAAGCCATCGATATTTTCGAGATGGGTATGCGCACATTCGCAGGTTGATCTCGTAGCAACGACTGATGAATTCATAGCACGCGTCGACCCCAACACGCCCCTTGAGATATCCATCAAAGCTTTGGCTGAGTTGGTAAAAGAGGGTAAGATCGGAGGCATTGGACTGTCTGAAGTCAACGCCGACACCATTCGCAAAGCTCATGCCGTTCACCCCATCTCAGCCGTAGAAATCGAGCTGAGCCTGTTCACACCCGATCCCCTTCACAACGGAATCATGGAAGCATGCTCTGAACGTACGTCTCCCCGCGAAAGAATTGGCTTTGAACATCCGATGCTGATAACACCAATACAGTCGAGATCCCTGTGATTGCGTACAGTCCAGTCGGTCGGGGATGGCTAACAGGCAGTTTCAAGACGCTTGATGATCTTTCTCCCAACGATTTTCGCCCGAAGATGTTCGATCGCTTTCGGCCTGAAGTGTTTGATCAGAACTACAAGCTTGCCGAGGCCGTGGAGAAGATTGCCCAGAGCAAAGGCCTCAAACCGGCACAAGTCGCTATCGCTTGGGTAGCGCGGCGAGGGGCGATTCCGATTCCAGGGTCTACCAACATTGAACGCGTTACCCTGAACAGCAAGCTGTTGGAATTAACCGATGAGGATATGGAAGACCTTCGAAAAGCTCAGGAGACATTTCCCGTTGCAGGTAAAAGATATGGAGGAGCGCATGAGAAGCTGCTGAACGGTTGAAAGTTGAGCCGAGATTGATGTTGTCATACTGCAGATTTCGGAGTTTAGACGGACGGAGATATTGCCATGTTGATTTACCTGTTGCCATCAACTTTGTCGTCCTCATCATCACTCTTACTTTACGAGTTCTCAACATTTTACTGCTACGTTCTAGTCGCGATGAGTTCAGCATACGAAGAATCTGAAGAAGTAACAGCCACGTCGCAAGATACAACTCATACACATCATGGTTCGTGTGCAGTCTGTGCGAGGGCTAAGAGCAAATGTGTGAGGCGTTCAGGGAACAGCAACTGCGAAAGGTCAGTGACTACAGCATGACTGACCATTTCGCATAAGACTCAATTTCAAGCTCATATTGAAGGAGTTCAAAAAGCTTAACACATTTTTAGATGTACACGGCTACATAAGGTCTGCCAGACTCGGGAGCCAACGAAACGCAGAAGCAAGACAAAAAAGGTAACGTGAGTCAAGTTGAGCGGTGCCCGGTATCTGATTTCATAATGCTAAATTGTAAGTAGACGATCCGCTCAATTGCAGCATCTCGAGGCACAGCTTGCAGACATCACTGAAGCTCTGGCCAACAAACATGCGCCAGAGGCATCTTCAGAATCGGGAATGCATACTTCTGGATTACAGCAGGCGACAAGATTACATGAGAAGAATAACGTTGTGTATCAGGCACCACTGATCGTAACCCCAAGCGCTACCGGATCTGTCGATACTACTGCCTCTGCCCGCGACGCAACGCTGGAGATGGACGATTCCGACCTCGCATCAATGGAAACGAACGAAACAAATACCGACATTTTGTTCGATCGCTACCAGAGGCTGATGGCACCTCATATGCCTTTTGTGGTGTTCCCAACTGGTACTGATGTTTCCAGATTGGCCAACAACAAGCCGTTCTTGTTACAGGCTATCAAGACAGTCGCTTTCTTCCACGATACCGCAGTCCAACAGATTCTGGTAAAGGATCTTATACGAGAGATCTCGGATAGGGTATTGATCAATGGTGAGAAATCGCTCGACCTGTTACAGGGTATGCTAGTGATTGGAAACTGGTATAATCCGCATCTCTTCGCACCGCCAAGCCACACAGTACTTCTTCACCTTACCATGGCGCTCACTCACGACCTGGATATCGATCGTGCGCCAGGATTTTGTGAGAAGGCGGCTTTGATGGCAGCGTCACAAGCGCACGGTGTGCCACAGCCGGCAAAGGTCGTAACGAACGATGAGCGACGTGCAGTTCTCGGAACGTTCTATCTAACCTCGCAGATATTTACATCCTTCCGGAAGATCGACAACCTCAACTGGACTCCATGGCATACAGCTTGCGTCGAGGTACTAACGCAAGCTCGAGAATGCGAAAGCGATCTTTTTCTCGTGCAGCTAGCGCAGAGCCAGCGTATCATGCAAGAAGCCATGGCTACCGACTGCGAGCATGCTCCGGTGCAACTATATGCCAAATCATTCTTGAGCGACCTCGATAGGGCTGCGCTAGGGTCTGGAAACGCAGCGACGGCGATAGTGTCGCGTTTGCAGCAAGCCTGTACCCGAACTGCGATCTGGGAACGCTCATTCGGGAATCTCGCCACCCATACAGTTAAGGAAACGGACCTACGACAACGACTAGATGGAATGTGGCACTGTATGGACGCGGCCAAAAGATACACAAAGATATATCTAGAATTACCCGTCGAAGACTATCTTGTCGTCCCATTCGGCGTTTTCGCGCAGTTTGCGTACATGTTCGTTGTGCTTGTACGAGCAAGCCTGATTGAGATGGAGGGCTGGGATGTCCAAGCTCTTAGAAAGTTCGTCGACTTTTCGACACTTCTCGGCGAGGCTTCCCGACGTTATGATGCTGTATCGCAGGCCCATCCTGACGGTCTGAACCTGCACAACGAAGCCTTTGCGAAGTGGTCTGCGAAGATCAAGTGGGCAAAATCCTTCTACGACACGAAGTTCTTGTGTTTGGCATCAAACGCACCGACAGCAAATCAGCCTCCGTTTGGGGTTAGGGCCACTGACGTGAACGAAACTCATGTACCGTACTCGGCTTCTCTCGCCCCTCTTGAAGCTCTAGAAGAGCCGACATCAAATCCGTTCTCAGCTTTCGATGACTGGGGCAGTTTTGCTGATCCATCAGCCTTCCTTGAAGACATGGACTTCGGAGTGTCCAACGTGTAGAACAAAGAGGATGGGCCCGCACTTCGGACGCAGAAGTCAAACAACCCAGCTTCACGCGACACGCACGCGATATCATCGGTGAAAGAACGAGTTCCGACCCAATCATAGGCAATGTGGGCCGCTGGGTCTTGGCGGTTGTATAAGGTTAGCTTTGTCCTACGATCATACCTTCCATTCTCTTACCCCGGAACTCGACCTGCAGCTGCACCCTCTTCAATATGGCTGATCGAATGCTTCGCCCCGATACCGCCATCATCTCGGCGATTTACACCGAGTCGCAACCCAACTCCATCGAAATACTTGCTCACTCCTTCACCAACTGCACGTTCAAAGCGGAATTCCAAAACCGTTCCGCTGTCATCGTTCGTCTGGACACCGCAAGCGGATCGCTAGCCGTCGTTTCTGCAATTCAAGAGGCAGCTTCACTCCAAATACCGACTTATGTCCCCGAGATACTCAGCTACGGAAAGGTGGTGACGGAAAACCAGGGCGATGTGCACTACATGGTCACCAGGTTCATCACGGAAACAGTAACGCTAGAGTCTGTTTGGCCTTCTCTCAACCTCACGCAGAAGACATCTTTGGTCGATGCTGTTGCAAATGCAGTCGATAAACTTCAACAGCTCGACACTTCGCATGCGCTCCTTCAACAAATCCTTCCAAACACAGCTCTGGACGCAGTCGCAAACAGCAGAGATATCAGTATTGGCAGTTCATTCCTTGGTTTCGCTAAAAGTGTCCGCGAGTTCATCGCGCTGTATGTCGCTAAGCATCAAGCCAAAAGATTTGCTACCTCTTCCATAGAGGACGCATTAGACGGCGACGGCATAGTCATCAGATCTGCCATACCTGAGTTGGGTGAGATACATCTTTCCTCTCGCGATCTTGAGGTGCTTGAAACAAGTCTGGTGCTTTCTCACAACGACCTCGAACCCCGGAACCTGCTAGTAAGGAAAGCAGAAGGTGAAGATGGTCCACACTACGAGCTTGCTGCCATCATCGATTGGGAGATGGCAGGGCTACTTCCTTCCTCCTTCGAAACAGCAGTCAAAGATGTCTCGTTGGGCAGTAACAATCAGTATCTGGACTATTATCTCATGTTCAAGGAAAAGACACGCTCCACGATATCTGGCGGGGAATCTCCCGAGAAGCTAATTAAAGCTGTTCGCCTTATTGATGGGTCCTGGTCTCAGCAGATGAAAAGAAATGTTGGCGCAGAGACTCGAAGGCGTTGGATTTCTAGAGAGGGCCTGGAATTGAGTGATGACGCTTTCGAAGGATGGATATTGAAGGCTGCAGGAGATGGTACAAAGCGTGAGATACGTTCTTGCTCCAAAGCGGACAACAAAGAGCTTGAAGACCAGGTACTAAGAGACTTCGGTATGCTATAGTGAACGGAAATGATCACTTTGTGGGGGGCTTTACCTTTTGGGACATACGTACGTGAAGTAGTGAGCTTGCCCTTGACGTCGGTGTCTACATAGTGCATTTCGTTGCCAAAGAGATCACGAACGTCAGAATTATCACACTACAGCTTTGATTCCCAGCATATCGAATTCAGTGTCAACGTCCGCACACACACTTCCATGAAGGCATGTAGTGAAGATCTGTGGAAAGTATAGGTATAAAACATATAACTCTTCTGCTCTATTTCGCAGACAACAGCTACAAATCAGCCACACAATAACTACCACAAGCTCTACCTGACCGTCCAACTCAACCAAATCGCATGTCAAAGTATCTTCCCAGCAACACAGCAACAACACAAAAGTACGTACCCCAGATCTCGGGGTTGTTTCTAGTTCCCTTCTCACTAACACACTACAGTGTCCGTTATCAAGCCTGAATCTACTCCTGTCGACGGCAACACCTGTGGGATTTGCGGGAAGAACTTCAATGGATCATCTGACGACTGTACTTGCTATCAGGATTAGGCCGTCAGACTGGCCCTATCAGTCGCTGTAGTGTCAAACACGGATAAATGCTCACGGAGGGCGGATGAGCAGGATGTAGACCCTTCTCGCCAGTCAGTCTGACTTTGTTGGTTACGATACCACATGGAAATATGAAAGAGTAAAGCTTGCACTATGATACATGATGATATGAAGTGACGGTTAATCTACATTTGTGGCAGATGCATCCTGATCCTTGTCCTTGTTACCGATGAACAGTGCCGCTAAGACTGCCGTGAAGGCGCAGATACCAGCGAGCACAGCGTTCATGTTGCCGTACCCAATCTTGTCTCGTAGATACCCAGCCAGCAGTGGGCCTACAGTCAGCCCACCGCTCCACACCATACTGTTGATGCCGTAGAGTTGGGCGAATGGAGCCTGCTCGAACATGTCTGTATTCGCCTTGTAGTAATTCTCCACGATAGTTCCAGATTCGACAATGCTAGGACTGTTGATAACCGCCAGACCGAGTCCGTTCATCGCTAACAATACAGAATAGAGCGCGATGATGTGACCGTTGTCTAATCTCTCGATGACACTCGACTCAGTCGGAAGTCGAAGTAATACAAGCGTTGGTATCAGCCAAATGAATCCAAAGACTGATACTGGCTTCGTGCCATAGTTGTCGACACACCAGCCAAAGACTGGGCCCAGCAGGAAATCTGCACCACCCAATGGTAGGAAGAGCAATCCAGCTTTCAGGCTGTCAAAACCTAGTTGCTCCGAAGCTACTAACGGCACAGTAGCGTCAAAAGAACCAAGAAGAAGAGCTTGCACAAATCCAATCCACACGGAGGTTAGCAGACCAGGATGGCGAAACAGCATGAGCATGGGAAGATTGCGGGTGAAGCGATTCGATGGTTTGGAGAGACGGTAGCGATCGAGCGGAGAAGAACCATTTGGTAGAAGGGGGGTTTGTTCCGTATCTTGTTGTTCGTTGCTTCGATCCGGTTCAGAGGCATGTGTCTCCGGAGTAGAGTATTTCTCAGCCACCTTCTTCTCCACCATGAGCAATCTCAAAATGAAGTCTATGCCAATCAACCCTATGGCCACGCCAAAGACACCTATGTATCCAGTCTTCGCGTACAATGAACCGCCGACAATAGGTGCGACAAGGGTGGAAACTGAGATGAAACTGAAGATAGTTCCCATAGTCTTGCCCAAATTTTCGCGGCCTACGGTCTCAACCAAGATAGCAAGGCCGATGGTCCACACGACACCTCCCGATGCTCCCTGCAGAAACCGCGCAATGCCCACAACAGCAACGCTACGTCCAAGAGCGAGAAGAATGGTCGAGAGTAGACACAGGATGAGCCCGAGGAGGAAGGGTAGCTTTCGAGACGAAAACAATCTGTCAGCTAGGAAGCCTGCGATGGGTGAAGATATGCAGGAAGCTGCTGCATAGACTGCTAGGAGGTTCGATATCGTGCTTTGGATCTGAGAGTCAGGGAGATCGATGCGGTCTTTCAGCAGGAACGGCAGTACTGGTACGATGAGCCCGTACAAGAAAAGGTCCACGAATGCGCCCATTCCCACAGTAAAGACTATGAACAATGGGTGCGATCGCCATCGTATCCCTGGTGGTGGCATTGCGTACAGAGTCTGAAAATCGACGACGTGATGAGATGCAAAATTGATGTTTGTCAGTTCTGGAAAGGCTTCTGAGAGAAGTTTCCGCACGAGCCTCATCAGCTCAGACGCATGCTGACGTCAGTACTCATGATGAAGGATGTAAGCGCCTTCTCTAAGTGCATCAGTGATCGGTAGGGAGAATTGATAGCTGTCAGCAGCAAAAGAACAACGCGCTCCATCGAGGATGAGGGGCGGCTCCAATCATACACTTCCGGTCGTTCATACCGCTCTTACAACTTAAGGAGAAAAAGATTTGTGTCACACTGCTGAGTGACAAGTAGTAAGAGCTTTCGCGAATTTCAAAACGTTGGAGATACATTGTATGTCGACCCTTGAACAGCTTTCTGCAGGTGCACAACTTCCCGGGGCCCTGGTGTTCGTCGTCACGTGCGGACGCAGCCTAGCGTGCTTGGCGCGGATCTCGAATTCGAGCTCCCGACAACTTCGTCGGGTAAGTGAGACCACGCCATACAACTCCACTACCCACACAACAGTCGCTTCAAGATGGCGGACAAGATGGAGGGCGTAGTAATGGGCGGCGGTCTCGTAGACCCCAGCAAATACCCAGTGCCCATCGAAACGTAAGTGCAAGATCATGCCCAAAAGGTAGGTCCCCTTGATGCTAATCGAGAAATATAGTATATACGTGAGTTGGACCACGAGCGCGCCAGCAACGCACTCACATTGTACTCGGTGGCGCGATTGCTGACAGCACTAGGTCAACAACCTCGAGGAGCGCGTCAAGATCGATACCATGAAGCAAGCCTTGACACGGGTCTTCCAATACTACGGTCCGATCCTGGATGTTATCGCAAAGAGCAGTCTGAAGCGCAAGGGCCAGGCATTCATTGTCTTTGACAGCGAGAAGGCTGCGCTGGAGGCGGTAGAGGAGATGAACGGCTTCGAGATGTACGGCAAGGTCATGAAGGTGCACAGGGCGAAGACACACAGCGACGAGACAGTCAAGCGAAAGGCGCCAGAACTGTTCGACGATCACAAGCGGAAGCGCCTGACGCTTAGGGGTGCGCATCTCCTACCACTTCTGAGGATGCTTCATACTGACTGCCGTAGACTTCAAGCGCGCCGAAGAAGACGCGAAAGCGCAAGCCAACCCAGTCGCCGCCGAGAAGCCTCGCGCAGCCAAAACCGGAGCAGCCGCTGTTCCCGACGAATACGTACGACCCAACAAGACGCTCTTCTTGCAGAACATCCCCCGCGATGTCGACGAGGACGACCTTACGACGATTTTCGAGCGTTTCGAAGGCTTCAAGGAAGTGCGCTTGGTCTCGGTCAGGGCTGTGGCCTTTGCGGAGTTCGAGAACGAGCAGTTTGCGATTACAGCGAAAGAATCGACGGCCAATACCCCGATCGGCGCAGAGGGCAAGCCTATGAAAGTCACCTACCAGCGGCAACAGTAGGTTACTGCGTATGGATTATTGCTATGGATTTATGCATTTTATGATACCTTGTTTGGCACAGATACAGGCCAGCACAATAGAGTCTTATTATCAAAAGGCCAACATTCACATTAAATGGCACAATGCTTATCTCTGATTTAGCTTGGTCGAAAACGCCCCGCGCGGGATGCCAAACGGAACCTGGACCACGGACTCCGTATCAGCCTTCTGGAAGGTGCATGTCTACATGCGAGACGTTGGCGAGCGAGAGCTAGAGAGGTGGATCCAGCGCCCAATGGGCCGCAGACGACACTACACGGACGGGCCCTACTAGTGGCCTGCAGAGCGCTTAGAAGATGACATCTTCGTTGTCCTCGTCGCCCAGCATGTCCTTGCTCTCGGCAGCATCTTCTCGCGCCTCACTCTCCGTCTCTTCGTTCTTCTGCTTCGCCGCCACCCTTGCGGCTTCCTCCTCGGCAGCATCCTTCTGCTTCTTGTTGGACACTTTCTTCAGGCGGTAGAACTCCTCTCGGTCGAGCTCGTCAAGCTCAGAGTTGATGTATTTAATGGTGTTTTCGGTACGGGGGATGATGACATGCTCACTGTTGGCTATTAGCTTCGGCAGTTGTCTGGAAGGAAAGGATACCCACATGGCGTTTACACGGCGGTTGACCACCTTGATAACTTCGTCCAAAATGACAAAGGCAGTCTGTAGACTAGCCAGTTCCACCAGAGTCTCGACCGCTCTTGCGTACGTCTCTCTGCATCTTTGTACTTGCTGACCACCCTTGCCCAACCCCGTCAGGGCGAAGTCGTTGTTCTGCTCGACAGTGAAGCTTTCGAACTGCGGGAGGAAGACACCGGAGACGTTCTCTTGTTTCGTTCGTACACGGAAGCGGGCTTGCTTTGCGGATTCTTGGATCTGGTAGCCAATGTCGCCGCCGACAGCGTAGGTAACTTCGGCGAGGGAGAAAGCAGCGACTTGCATGACTCTGCCCATCTTGCGCTTTGCCTCATCGATACGGCGCGTTATTTCTGGAAACGGTTTCAGTTACAAAGGCAGATGGTGGGGGTGCATATAGCGTAGTCGTACCTCGAAAGCGCCTGCACATGGTCAGCAAAGCTTCACGAGTGGACTGGAGACAGCGAGTGCATACTTGGTCAAGGCCTCACTCTTTCGCTTCAGCAGGTCGTGGCCGGTCTGGGCGCCCTTGAGCTTGCCCTTCATCAGACCCAGCGACTGCCGCGTCGCGAAGACGGCCTCTCGTGCCTGAGGGTCGTGTTAGCATCAGAAGTCCTGGGCATTGCATAGCTCGGGCTGGCGTACCCCGCTGCCAGACATGTTTGCGGCTCGAACAGTTGGTGGAGAAGGCTATGGGGCTAAAACCGAGGGTAGAGGCTGACAATGGCCGGAGATATTCTGGGAGGTGTCTCGGAGCCAGTCAGCGTGCGCAGTGCGGCCAGGTGAATCCAGCGGAACGTGACGCAGCTATGCCGGGGAGCTAGCTATCCATGGATGTGAGACCCGTGCGCGCGCGCCTACCAACACTGAGAAGCGGGTCCTCGGAATACACGTTGCTTATTGGCTGCAGGAGACGGCTGACCATCGCTCTTTCCTCAGAACTTTAACACTTCGACACGCCTCGTCAGCCGTCCAACACCGCACCCCATCGCCCTCCTGCCCACCGCGGGCAACACACGCCCTGGCTCTGGCGCAATCATGCCCGGCGAACTCCTCAGGACCGTCACCGCGAGCCTCTCGCGGCCCTCCAAGCGGAAGATGGAGCCCTCGGCGGACCTTTTCCTCATCACCGACCAGGACGTCGCGTACGAGCAGGACATCCAGCGCAACGCCGGCAGCGTGAAGCCCTGGCTCGACTACTACAGCTTCAAGAAGTCACGTGGGAGCATCCTGGAGCAGGCCTTTGTGCTTGAGCGCGCCGTCACGACGCTTCCGCGCTCGTACAAGCTGTGGAAGCTGTACCTCGAGCTGCGCACCAAGCACCTCTCAAAGAAGAACCCGGCCAAGTTCGCGCCCCACTATGTCAAGGTCAACGCCCTCTTCGAACGCGCCCTCGTTCTGCTCAACAAGATGCCGCGCATCTGGGAGATGTACCTCAACTTCCTCATGCAGCAGCCCCTCGTTACCACTACCCGCCGCACGTTTGACCGAGCCCTACGCGCCCTGCCTCTGACTCAGCACAACCGCATATGGGCCCTCTACCGACCGTTCGCGACGTCTGCGTCAGGCGAGACGGCCGTCAAGATCTGGCGTCGCTACATGCAAATCCACCCCGAAGACGCCGAGGACTTCATCGAGCTGTTGAAGGATATGCGCAAGTACACCGAGGCCGTCAAGAAGTACATGGAAATCCTCAACAACCCGCGCTTCAAGAGCAAGGAGGCAAAGGGTCCCTTCCAGTTCTGGACCGAGATGATCGATCTGATGATTGACCACGCCAAGGAAATCGACACCAGCGACGACAGCGGCATCGACGTGGAGAAGATTATCCAGAGCGGTATCTCCAAGTTCCCCGATCAGCGAGGCATACTCTGGGTCGGTCTGGCGCGGTACTGGATGCACAGGGGCGAGTACGAGAAAGCCCGCGACGTCTTCGAGGAGGCTGTCACCACAGTCATGACTGTGCGCGACTTCTCCATCGTCTTTGACACGTACGTGGAGGCTGAGGAGGCCATGATTGGCATCAAGCTCAATGAGGCCGCTGTTCGGTCGGAGAAGGGCAAGATCGACGAGGCTGCTGACGCGGACCTTGACATCCGGATGGTCCGCTTCGAATCCCTCATGCAAAGACGGCCCTTCCTGCTGAATGATGTCATGCTTCGACAGAACCCGCACAATGTCATCGAATGGGAGAAGCGCGTCGCTCTTTGGGGTGACAACAAGAAAGAGGTGGTCCAGACCTACACCGACGCCATTGCGGCAATCAACCCCAAGAAGGCACTCGGCAAGTTTCACGAGCTCTGGGCCAACTATGCCAAACTGTACGAATCAGGCGGCGACCTCAAGAATGCCCGTGTCATCATGGAGAAGGCTGTCAAGGTGCCCTTCAAGTCAGTCTCCGAGCTGGCTGAGATGTGGTGCGAATGGGCCGAGATGGAGCTTCGCAACGAAAACTTCGACAAGGCCGTGGACATCATGGCCAAGGCTACGCAAGCCCCTAAGCGGTCGAATGTCGACTACTTCGATGAGTCGCTGTCACCACAACAGCGTGTACACAAGAGCTGGAAGTTGTGGAGCTTCTACGTCGATCTTGTCGAGAGTGTCAGCACCCTGGAGGAGACAAAGAAGGTGTATGAAAGAATATTTGAGCTTCGCATTGCAACACCGCAAACCATCGTCAACTACGCGAACCTGCTGGAGGAGAACAAGTACTACGAAGACTGCTTCAAGGTCTACGAGCGCGGCCTCGACCTCTTCAGCTACCCCGTCGCTTTCGAGATCTGGAACTTGTACCTCACCAAGGCCGTGGACCGTAAGATTGGCATGGAGCGATTGCGTGACCTGTTCGAACAGGCTGTGGAGGACTGCCCGCCAAAGTTCGCCAAGGTACTGTACTTGATGTATGGTGCGCTTGAAGAAGATCGCGGTCTAGCTAGACATGCCATGCGCATCTACGAACGCGCCACACGCGCTGTAGCAGACGAGGACAGGCTGGAGATGTTCAACTTCTACATCACCAAGTCAGCTTCGAACTTTGGTCTCACCTCCACTCGACCAATCTACGAGCGCGCAATTGCCGCCCTACCCGACGGCGAAGCCAAGGAAATGTGCCTCAAGTTTGCCGAGATGGAACGTCGCTTGGGAGAAATCGACCGAGCCCGAGCAATCTATGGCCATGCCAGTCAGTTCTGCGACCCAAGAACAAGCCCCGAATTCTGGAAGAAGTGGGAGTCATTCGAAGTCCAGCATGGCAACGAAGACACGTACAAGGAAATGCTACGCATCAAGCGCAGTGTCCAGGCTCAGTACAATACCGACGTCAACTTTATCGCCTCCCAGGCTGTCGCTCGTGGTCAACAGAACGGTACACCTGCCGACGAAGACGGCGACGCTACCGATGCTGCTGGCGAGGATGCAATGGCCGCTCTCGAGCGTCAAGCACGCGCACCAGCTGGCTTCGTCGCCGCCAGTACCGGTCCTCAGGGTGGCAACATCAAGCCTACCGAAGAGGCAGCCGCAAACCCCGATGCGATCGATCTGGACGACGACGACCTATGATTCACGAACCAAGGTTCCTTTAAATGAGGGCACCTTCAGGGTATACAATTAGGTCAAGGGCGGATCGATTAGGATGAAAGACTTGCATTTACATTGGCGTTATTTGAGAAAGGTGACAACAACACACCTGGCTATCTTCGCAGGCTACCATGCTACTCCGGAATATTTCATTGCTTTGCGTGTACATTCGGGTTGACCCAGTGCGGTCTCCCTTGCTTCGACCTCCACCAATTTGAGGTTTCGACAGTCTGATCTTTGTGTTTTACTCGACTTCGATCGATACCTTGACAACTTGTCTCGACTAGCTCACTTTCTTGCATCTACGGCGTTCTTTTACTTTGTGAGGGATTCTGCGCGAACGATGTCAGTGGCATCTTGCTCTGAAGAGAGCCCCTGGTGGTTGGGCCGATTTCTTTTGTCGAGTGGTCAAACAAACTGTATGTTCTTGGCAACATCTTCTCAGCTTCATCATGTCATATAAAACATCTAGCCAAAAACAAACACTATTCACTCCGCAATCAATGCCTTCGCTTCTGCCGTGACGTGTACATTGTTTCTATATTTGGGTCTATACTTGGATCCATTGGAGTTAGACACATACAACTTGATCGCTTACGCGAAGTCACTGCAACACTAGGTCTTAAAGCATGTCGATATTCGTCTGATTTTGTTATCAGCATTAGAAGTTACTGATCACAAGCTCTCGAGCCACTTCATCGCAGGGAGCCTATTTGATTTCCTCTTGTAATACACGTGTACCGCATGTACGGAGCTCCGACACCGCACTCCCTGTGTCTTACTTTCCAAGAGCCGGATACTCCTTCTCCGTGAAGAAAGAAGTGGGGACACATCCACGTGCTTTGCCATGCACTTTGTTCTCCGCTTAACTAAGACTGCAGCATCGGTGGGAAGGAGCAGCCGAAGCTTTTGTCACGATCTGAGGCAGTTACACTGGATCATGCCCGCACATTGCATTTTGAGCAACCGTAATCCGATACTGGAGTCTATCTTGTGCACGAGCGTATAACAGTATGAGTTTCGTGCTCATTCAGTGATACAGGCTTGTCTGATTGGATCTTGTATCCACCTGGTTCACGGGCTTCTTCTTCCGTTCACAGAACTGGACAGTAGAAGCCTAATGTTGTCCTGGCTACCCTTTTTTTTGCTCATGTCTACATACTTGCTACGTTCACGGGTTCGATTTATGCCCGGGTTTTGTTCGTTGCTTTTAGCATCGTTTTCCCGGGAGGAAGGAGAAGGGGAAGTGGTAGTGGTGACTCGTGATAGGGAAAGAGCCTTGGGACGCGTGGCGTGCTTACATCGAACGCGCACGCATCATGGGGTCCGTTGCGGACGACAGCAGAATGGTACGTTAAGTCGTCAGGATTTTGGTTATCCTGTCTTACATTTTCAATAAACCGCACTGAGGTTACGCGGCTGCGGGATTTAGGTTTCAAAGTCTCGCGGTGCAGTAATCGCAGCATTCGTCGGTTCGACGCGACACTTCAGAAGCAACATGTTTCTGTAGTGATCCCATGTGAAGATCTGTGTTACCAAGTTGGAATGATGTGTTACAAGGGTAATGATAGTGATTTGGCGAAAAATTACTCGATAGGAGGAGAACCACGCTTTGTTTCGTCTTGAATAGTAAGAGTAGGGTTCCTCCATTGCTGCTCATTACCCAAAATACGTTGTGTGTCACCTACTACTCGTGGCCTCACGCATGCTCACGCAGTGTTTGATAGCACCATTGACTGATCATGTCGTGATGACTCCGTTCCGAACCTGCATGGTCGGCAGTTGAAGCCCAACGTGTGGTTGACTTCTGCCAAACTTTGCACTAAACTTTCTCTGCTTCAGGTAGAAGGGCGAGTGAGTCCCTCTACGTGTTCACCGTGATGAAGGTCTATCCCAGTACCAGGTCGAACACATGAATATGCCCCTTTAAGTAACCAGGCCCATCCTCGTCGATGTCTGGGTGTCACCTGTCACTACCTCAAAAAGCCCTCGTACTCTTATTGTGATTTAACCAATCTCGTAGAGTTCGTACTGTGCGACAACTGGTGGCACGGCATCCGGCAACCTGTGGCACGATCCGCGATATGAAACAGCCTGACAGCCGTGTGCCATCACGTCAAAGTATGACGAGGATGTGCTGGTGTGGAGATGAGTTAATCAGCAGGCTGGGCCCCATCGTGGCCTTCTCGGCTTCAGCCGCATAGCGTGCACTGATCTGTTCGCCCTGAAGATCAAAAGAACGATATGTGGTGGTGTGGTGCTGTTTCGAATGGCACGGTGCTGATCGTGGCCCTGTCGAGATAGGTGGCGTTGCTGGCGCGTCCTCAAATGGATTGGTAGGCGTTGTCGAGTCATGGGTCCGCTTCAACTTGCTCACCACCATCCCACGAAGTGTTCAGGCACGAGATGACGAGAAATTTGACAGAAGTATGTCGTGATGAAGTCGAGATGTTGGGCTTTGAGGTATCACAGAATATGTTGTGCGCAAGACGCAACTGCCCAGCGATTCCTGTTTCAGAAGTGTTACAGACGCGAGGAGAGAAGTAGACATCTCAACCGCTTTCCGTGATGCGTTCCGTAGACATTCCATTACCATCATGAGTTGTATGCGAATTCTGGTCTTGTCGTTCGCGACATGCGCATTTGGGTTGTACGCCTATGCGTCACCGCAATGCCCAAACGCGCCGCATCAATTCGCGGTCCAAGCTCAACTGCCACTCCAATTACCACATTGTCCTTACACCACCGGCAATACAGAACCATTGCCGAAAGAGACGCCCCTTCAGCACTTACCGTGGTCGCACGATCCAGCCTGTGCTCAAGGGAAGCAGAGGAAATATTGCACGTACACAACTTCCGAAACAAGAGGCGGACATGCTTTGAGCATTATCGCAAGACCTGTAGCTGCAAATGCGATATCTGCAGCCTTCCTAGCTCTGAACGGGGAACATCAGAGCTTGGATGATGGTCTCGAAGTTCGGGCCTTCCCGGGCAAGGGCAAAGGCCTAATCACCACAAAGGCTTTGAAGAAAGGAGAAACGATATTACTCGATACTGCACGTATCATCGCGAGCTCGCATTTTCCTACGCAGGTTACGCGTGCGCAAGGCCAAACACTCTTCAGTGCCGCACTTGATCGATTACCTCGGGCAGATCGGAACTCGGTGCTCGCATTAGATCAGAGTCTGGATGGCAGCAAAGTTGAAAACATCATGAAGACCAATGCTTTCGCATGCCAGCTCGCTGATGGCGAAGTAGACGACGCTTACATGTGTCTCTTCCCTTCCGTTGCCCGGATCAATCACGCGTGCCAGCCTAATGCGCACGCGCGCTTTGTTCCGAAGACTCTGTCGATGGAGATCAAAGCTCAACGGGACATCGCCGCTGGGGAAGAGATCGGTATCTCCTATGGCAAAATCGACTTGAAGCACGCCGACAGACAAGCACTCTATCAGGAAGGCTGGAACTTCAGGTGCACTTGCTCTCTTTGCACTGCTTCGCAATACGACGTGGCTGGTAGTGACCAGCGCCGTGCGAGATTCGCCCAACTCCGGAAGATGCTGGAGAACTTGACGGCAGAAACCTACGATGCCCAGCAAATTGTTGCTTGGGAGAAAGAAGTTATGGAGATTAGTCAACGAGAGGGTTTGGATACTCTGCTCGCCCAGGACTACGAGAGACTGGCGTACGTGTACGCAGGTCATGGAATGATGGGAGATGCCAGACGTTGGGCAAAGATGGCGAAAGAAAGTTTATTGGAATGGGTGGTGGTTGATGGAGGTCCGCGCAATCAGATAAGGAGGATAGAGGACTTGCTCAAAGAGCTGGATGGCTAAGTCAGGGTTGTCATTTCGCGATCTGATAGCTGGGGCTGCTGGCTTGGGCTACGAAGATGCCTGAAGACGGACCGGAAAGACAGTAAAGTTCCTGGGAAGTGTACCATTGCTTAGAGACTCCGCGAGTGTTCACTGGTAGGCTTCCGGTGTCCGCGCGCGACAGCCGTGCTAGTAAGCCTGCGGTGGCTGAACGTCAACAGGGCTGAATGAAGCGTCTTGCGATCGTGACGTGGACCGTGATAGAGGATGTGGTCGGGTCGGTCCATCGTCGTCCATAGATCTTCATTGCAGCCTCCGAATACTCCGAACACCCCACGTTGCATCCCTGGTCCGTCGACCGTGCTTGAATAGACGTTGTTGCTAATGTCACCCTGCCCGATCCAACCTCAAAAGGGTCCGGAAGGCTGGTCGCAAGATGACGTGAGCGCCAGATTGGGCAGTAGGCAAGTACACTGGGCGGTGGAATTTTGAGAGATGAGGCACCTGAAGACTGTGTGTTTTAATTTACAGCCGTAGTTCGTCATCACGCGGAGGCCATGCCGGCGCCGCCAACAGGTAAAAACTCTGGGTGGTGCCGCAGGCCAGGATGCCCAGATCTGCACGCACCGGGTACAGGCGAGCTCGAGATCGTGGGCGATCCTCCAACAGTCAAAACAGGCAACGGTCGAAGAGGTCATTGCGCTGAGTAATCTCCATCGAGAAGAACCTTGGAATGATGGAGATAGACGCCACCGATGTGATGGATTGTTTCTGGGTCGGCGAGACTGATAGCATCTGACCTATTGACCGACCGAGAGAACGATTGATGCTTGCTACCACATCCCCGCGATTGACAGCTCGGGGCGCTCGCGGCGCCGTTGTCAACGGTGATATGTCGCAGCGATGGCAAAGAGAGTTCGATGGTGGAAATGCAGGTACGTGCCGAAAAGGGGTCTGTGGTGCTGAACTAAGCGGCACTTGACCTATCAGAAGCTGGCCGTGGCCTACTCCGCCTCGCATCTCAAACCTTCCACCACACCTGGCGCATCATCGCCTCGACTCTTCATTTGCTACGAGCCTCCCGTCCTCTTTCACTACCTACCTCATGCGGCTAAACGCGAGCAAAAGCATTACTGAACGACCCGTTGTCAAGTGACAAAGCAAAAAGCGAGGCGCGCATCAGCAAGCGCCACGTTCGCGTACGTGGGTCTGAATGAGCGCATCCCTTGAAGCAAGTGAAGGAGGAAGCGCCGTCGCGCCGTAACGAAATAGACTTTGTCGTCTTTGTACCACTGCTTCCAACGTCGAGGCTGTTACACTTGCCTCGAACTGCTTGTTAGCTGCGTCACCCATGCCTCCGTATACGGGTCCATGGGTCTTTCGAAGACCAGGTTTGATTGTCCAGTTTCAGATGTCGGCGGGGTCTACCCTGTAACCATCGGCTTTGCCAGCTGAAGAAGGTTGTACAGGGCTTCGCCGCATAACATTGCGAATGTAGGGCTAGAGACTAAATATGGACCTGCATGTCCTGTCGACAGCATATGGGATACATTAATGCTCTAAAACATCCTTAGGTTCTCCACACATCCAGTTCGCTCATCACATATCTTCAGTTCATCGCGATCACTTGCTTTTGCAACCAGTCACTCCTTTACTTGTTTTATACCGTCTTTTGTCTAATATGGTGTCGAGTCGGTCCCTCCTTACGGTCTTCGCGACCTTGATCGCAGTTGCTACGAGTCAGCAATGTTATGCCGTTGACGGTACAGCACTCGACAAAACATACACGCCATGCAACCCTAGCGCCAATCACAGCGGATGCTGCGCGTCCACCGACATCTGCATGAGTAATGGGTTGTGTATGGGAACAACAAACGAGTCGATCGGTATGATCTTCTCTCGAGGCTGTACAGACAAAGAAGGAAAAGATGCAGCATGCCAACAAGACTTGTGCCCTGGTGGTAAGTTCACAGACATCTGACTCATCGTATGTTCTCCAACTAACTCACTTTAGTTTCCAACGACTTCCTTGGTCTCAAGCCAGTAAAAGCATGGCAACTACAAACATGCGACTCTGGAACATACTGCTGCCGCGGCGCCGACGACACGAAGAGCTGCTGCAACAACGAAGACGCACCCCAAATCACAACAACCTTCAGCGCAACCCTCCAACTCCAGACCCCGAGCCCGACCAATGAACCCACAGCGGCCGTCGCAACCACTGCCCCACCTCCTAAGACCTGCTCAAAAGAAAAGAAGGAAACGGCAATAGTCGGCGGTGTCCTCACAGCTGTCTTCACCTTGATCATCGCAGGCCTGGCTTCCACTATATTCTGGATGTACAAGAGGGAGAAGAGACAGCGCAAGCTGAAGGAGCACTACGAGGAGCAGTTCTCCCAAACCAACGCGTACCGCAAGGCACTGGCGTCGAGCGCCGGATCCCTCAGAGGCAGTGTCATGATGGAGGACTTGAAGCCAAAGTCCAGCCACGGTCCCGCATGAGGAGTCACACACACACAAACTCAAAAAAAGTCTTTCGTATCGTCTTTCCACTTTAGCGTCGGTGTTTTTGCGGGTACAGGCAGGCACGGTGATGATGGGACAGGGTAATGTTGAGCTCACGCCTGGTACCGATCCTTGGGTTTTAGCCCAATCTCCTTTGTTCATTTCGGCAGTTGCGAATACCCTTCAGGACTCTCTTTCCTTTGTCTCGGCTTAGATATTCGGTTATGTAGCGACGACGGTTGGGAAGGGAACAACACTTAGGTGGTTGATGTGGAACACTTTCTGAGATGTAATAGATATAATGCACGTGCATTTTCATCCTACAATATTGCGACAAACATGTCTATCATCGTTCCACCTCGCCCAGCTTCCCCATGAGTAGCGCCTCGACCTTCTCTCCCTTCTTCAAGCTACCTTCGCCTTGTGGCATACAAAGCAGCGCATTCGCACCTCTGAAGCTGCCGATGCGGCTACTCCTCTGCCCGCCTGTTGAGCTGGCGTATAGCAACCCATCCTCTTTCGTCACAACAAGTGCACGATGATATTCTGGACGACCCTTGTCCATTCTCACATCTTCGTCCAGTATTACTCTGATCCTTGGTAGTCCGAGTGGTTTAATTCCAGCTTGCTGGTGCAATGCAGGCAGAACGAAGAGATGGAAACACACGACGGCTGAAGCTGGATTGCCAGGAAGCGAGAAAATCGACTTGGTGACAGGGTTCCCATCATTGTCCTTGACGGGTACAGTGGCGAAGGTGGTGGGTTTACCTGGCTTCATGTTGACACGGCCGAAGTGGATCGTGCCGCCGAGAGAGCGCTCGATGGTTGGTTTGAGTAAGTCGAGTTCGCCCATTGAGACGCCACCAGAGGTGATGATAACGTCGCACTTGCGCATCGCGTCACGGAGACTCTGCTCAAGGGTGCCGGGTCTGGGTTTGGTCAGCGACAGATGAATCGGATGTACTTTTCCAACTTTACTTACTTGTCTGAGACAATACCCAGATCGATGACTTCGAACCTATGGCTTCGTGCGGCAGTGATGAGAGTGGGACGGTTGGTATCGCGCACTTCTCCGAGTCGCAGCGGGCCCTCTCTGTTGTGTGGGATGATTTCATCCCCTGTGCTCAGGACTCCCACGACAGGCTTCTTGTAGATAGACACCTCTGTCGTGCCCACAGACGCAAGCAGGCCAAATTCGCCACCCACGACTGTGACACCTTCGCCTTTCTTCAGGATTATCTCGCCCTCTTTGACATCGCTGCCAACTTCTCGTACATTTTCGTTCGGCTTGATCTCATCAGTCAGTATCTCAATCTCTTTCTCTTCTTTGCCATCATCGGTCAGGCTCTTCAATACTGTATCCTCAACCATGACCACAGCGTCAGCACCAGGAGGAAGCGGGGCGCCAGTCGTAATCCTGGCAATCTCTCCTTCTTTCAGCTCCTTGACTTCGCCAGGCTGCGCATGGGATATGATCGAAACAGGATAAGTTCCTTTCTCAAACTTGCCAGTTGCTGGGATTTTGACTGCATATCCATCGACGATGCTGGCTCTGAAGGCTGGGACAGACTCAGTGGCTTTCACATCCTCGGCAAGGACTGAGCCACTAAGTCTCATGTCTACTGGCACTTTCTGTACTGCAGCAGCTGGGGTTTGCTCCGAGATTAGCTTGAGCGCGTCTTCAACAGCCAACATAGGGTAGGGCGATGATCGATATCTGCGAGTTGGTCCTGCGGAAGGATCATTGGACTGGGGACGCTCTTCTGGGTTCGTGTGAGCTTTGGGGCCTGCGTGGCCGCCGTGACCATGCGAGTGCCCATGATGGTGATGGTGGTGATGCCCACTTCCAGTTCCTGCCATTGTAAGTTGCAGTGTTTCTGGGGTGAATGGCACATCACGTACCTGTAGTAGCGCCACCCGAAGAAACACCCGCGTCCTTTTCGAGCTTCTCTACACCACCGACGTGTAGCGGTCTCGACTCTGCACCGGCAGCTTGGATGCACGCATGTGGTAGTAACTTCAGAACTGCCTCTAGGTTCTCTTTGGCACCTTTCGGCGATCCAGGCAGAGTCAATATCAAAGTCTTTTTTCTAACTCCAGCAACAGGTCTCGCCATAAGTGCAACTGATCAAACGTTAGCCTGGACGATCAGCTTGGCGTTCAAGCACTTACACGGCGTGACGGCGTAGGAAGTTGTGAGCATGCCATGTCTGGTTGTGTGTGAGCTTTCGCATACGGTATCGAGAGGAACCACCTACATAAGACCAGGAGCATGTCTATCAATCAGCGGCGCAACTGCCTTGTTTCTATCAGCTGCGTGTCTTGGGCCATTTCGAGAATAAGGGCGCGCACCTCCGGAGTGACATCCTTAGTTGCGAAACCAGTACCTCCGCTTGTAACGATCAGATTGATTGGCTCCGGGCCGTCAGTCCAATTTTTGACAGTCTTCTGGATTGCGAGAGTGTTGTCGGGTACTATCTCGGTTTCGCTGACTTCCCATTGGTCATTTCCGAGAT